GTGCAAGTCTGTATGAAGTTGGATATTCTCATTTTGCAAAAGAGAGCACAATATAAACTTTTAATTCTGCTTTTGCTTATGCCCCCAGCATCAAGTGCACTCTTAATTTCCATGGCTTTGGTTTGTCATGTCTTCCTCCAGTTGCAGTAAGTGCTCTTTTGCCTGACATTTCCTTTGAGCTACTTCAAGCTCTTACTAAATGAATTATTATGAAACAGGTTTTCAAAGTTACTACATGGCATGATGGCTGTGTGGTGGGTTCTAGAAATATTTGTGGATGCAATGATTTGGTATCAGGATTGTTTTCCAACATCACTGGGACTAGAAAAAGAGTTCAGCTTTGAAACTATAGCTGCAAAAAGGCTACCTAATGACACACTTAACAAAAAAAAGGAAACAGAAAAAAAAAAGAAGGTTTCTTCACACAGTGAAAATGGAAACATCCCACACCATCAGTCTCAGCACCCATGGGATTAGACAGTCCTGTGTCTAATGAAAAGGCAGGGCAGGTGTCTAGGTTGTTTCCTTCTTTGTTACTTTCCAATTGCTTAGGGGTTTTCATTTTTCAGGAGAGGAATTCCAACTTTTTCCGTCAGTAAGAAATGAAATGAAACTCACTGAACCTGTGGAGTGCAAGGCGTAGTTTCTGTGGCAACAATGCCTGTCTGACTCCTCTCACTACTTGCCTTTGCCTCTTGTAACTTATTTACTGTTTCAGCAGCACAGGAGGCAGAGGCAAGATCAGCAACATACACAATGATCATTCTTGATATAAAGCACAGAAATACAAGTATCAGACAAGTTTAATTATGAAAAAAAAAGGTGGGGGTAAAAGATTAAAATAACATTCAGCTGATAATATTATTATTTTGTAAAGGACTGGTAAATCAGTGACCAGACTACAATGCATGCTGCTCAAACAACTGTTTTTCTGGTTTGAAGCATTATGTTTAGATTTTAAAAATGATGACAGACAGGCTTAATTTCCTCCTTTACTCTCTTTTAATAATGCTTTCATTCTATACCTAGGCCAAGCGCCTGTACTGCTACTGTTTTCTTTAATCTTACAAGCATATATACCATAATTACACACACTATCTGATTAGGAATATATAAAGCTTGTGTTTTTGTCCATGCTTGAGACAGTCTGTGCATGCCATTCACTTGTTAGGACCCACAGCTGTTGTCGTGTCAGCTCAAGTTAGTTCCCAGCACTAAACCTCTCTGCAAACAGATTGGTGATGACCTAACGGGCTCCTGCTACTGATCCTTCTTTCAGAGGACAAACTGCTGTTTGCAGTGCTGTGACTATGGGTTTGGATGGTTGGTTGGTTGGTTTGGTTTTGACTTTTTTTTTGGGGGGGTGTGGGGGGAGAGGGGAGCTGTAGACTGATATATCAGTAGTAGAATGATAAATTCAGTCTGATAAATCCAGCAATCTGAAACCTGGCTTAATTTTCTCTTAATTATTTAGAGTTGCTTCAGGTACCTTCTAGAGGGAAAAAACCAAGTACAGGGCATAAATTGTGTTTCATAAGTGCCTTCCAACAAGTAGGAGGTATCAGCGCCTAATTAGTGAACTGTATCATAGCCTAAACCTATAAAGATACTGACTGTAAAGAACACTCCACATAAGATGAAACAATATGAAAACCACAGTGATAAATTCAACCTATCTCTAGCTTTATTTATTTAGTGTTTTAGAATTCCAGAGTGGTAGTTATCTGGAGAAGGGCTGAATTCCACATTCTCATCACAGGACCAAAGTGACAAATAATGAATTGTATGGCCTCGATAACTAGCTGTCTGAGCATCACCCTTCCAAATCCATTTAGCACAGGCATTCATAGCACACCAGTAGGATCTTCAGTTACTAGAAATAAGCATTTCAAAAGCTATTAAAAAACTCTAGTGTAAGCAAAGAAATCCTACTAGTCATGATAAACCACAGGTAAGGGATCAATTTTTGGAGATTTTAGTATAGTTTTGATAACAAGGGAATACAAAATCATGACTGGTGCACTAAACCCAGGATGAATTATGACTCAAATAACTGAGAAACTCATTTCTATTTTTGTTGAGTATTTAGTTGCCTATGAAGCTGTTTTTATAGGTGTGTAGCTACCTGGTGGTATCAGTCTGAATGTGACAGGCTCAGGACTCCTCTAAAAATCGTGTGCCTGGCATAAAATGGTTATCTGGGATGCTTCATGTTCAAAGGGATCCCAATGTCTACGATGAGGCAATGAATGTGGTGTATGAGGTGCTGGAAGCTTCCATCCTCATTGACTCTAAAGAAAAATTAGCCAAATGGCTAAGTCTGGCCTGGATCCTGATAACGGGTCAGGTAGGTGACACTAATGGAGGTATGTGATATGTTTATAGACTAAAAAATGGGATCTAGGCTTCTATCTATTGCACTATGAATGCATATACTTTGCTTGAAATTGCTCATCACTGAATGATAAGGAATTAGGAATATCCTTTTGCTATTTTCTTTACCTTTCTCTTAAGCTAATGAAATATGCTCACTATCCCCTCTTTGGGTCTACTTGATTTGGATAAAGTTATAGGAAAAAAGGAATACTTGAAGAGCAATGCTAAAAATAGAAAACAACTTTCATCTAACTCCTCTCATAGATTTAAACAGAGACATATTTCACACATTCACAGACATATTAGTAGGCACATCTTTCATCTATAGTCCTTTGAAGTTCATCGCTAAAGAGAATATGTAACATGCAGATGTTTCACTCTGATTCCTGATGTTTAATCAACCCTCATTGTCTTTGGAGAGATAGTTGTGATTATTTTTATTTTTTCCCACAGAAAATTTAATTACAATGACTATTACAGACTGGGTTGAAAAATTAATGACAGGAGAAAATTATATAGTTGCATTTAGCCTAAACTTTGATATTTCAAGAGCTGGAGAGACTCTAAAGGATTTGAAAGCTAATTGAATAAGCCCCTGGTTGAGCTAGTTCCAGCCCTGAATGACTGACTTCCATCTTCTCCCTATTATATTTGCAGAATATCCACCTTGCTTTTGGCGTTGTGTTTATCTGATTGCTTCAGGCAAAATAAGGTTACTGACCTCATCACTTGAAGTTTTGTTTTATTCTCAGCAGAAAGCAGTTAGATAAAACTCATATAAAGGATTGGCAATGAAGTTGGCATTGGAGGAATTTTATTTTTCATTTGTTTTTTATTTTCATTTTATTTCTTTGGTGAAATAGTTTTTACTAAGTTATGGAATATAAGTGAAAATTGAAAGCTAGGTGAAACAGTGATGAAACAGTGTAGCTATTCGCTCAGAAAGAGGAGAGGGAAAACGGGCAGTTATTTCCCTTAAAATAATCTGCTGTTGAAACTGTCTTTGAAAAGGAAAAGTACTGATTATTTTTTAAATACATCAGGCTTTTGCTTTTAGAGTTGAGACAGTTTACATATTGTCTGGGAAACAAGACTTATATGTACAGAATAAAATGATTACTAGAATGAACTGTGGAAGAAAGAGTTGAAACAACTAGAGTAGAACAGTGCTGCTTTATTCTCTTCTTATAATTACTACTGAGCTACTCGCTGATATACAAGTATACCTAAAAATATAGTTTATTTGAAAATATTGCCATGGTAAATCAAATCCAGATTTCCTGTTTCTGTAAGTATCCAGATCGGATGGTTCAGAAAGACGGATGAGGAAGTGAAAGCAACTGCATGATTATCTTTACCCACACAATTGCCTCCTCATACAAATTAGCCCAGAATTGCCTTAGATACTCCATAATATCCTTCTTAGAATATTAAATGAGTTATTCTCAGCAGTACCTATGAGTTACCCAAGCCCATACTTTAATCCACATTTGCTTCACATAAATACAGTGTGGCAACGAGTTCAAGTTCAGATACAGGCGTCAGGACTGGAAAAAAAAAAAAATAATGCATCCTTGTTATTCTTCTGTACAGAGTCAAAAAGCAGCTTCCAGAAATTTTCTATCACTTCATCAATTTGTGCATCTGTCCTTGACGTTGACAGAGAAATCAGTCAGAAGATTCTGCTAGGGGAGCCCAAATATCACAGGAGGGATTTGCTGCCATCTCAGGCTGCCTTTGGCTGTCTGGACAGGAACCTCATGTGATGGCGTCATACGGCCAGCTAGTGAGAGAGGTAGAAATCAATGCTGATCCCATGGCATCACCATTTAGTATAACAGCATGACATAAAATCATGTTAATAAGCCATATGAAGCTACTGAAGCCAGCCAGAACTGTCAGGGTTAAATAACATTACTAAGTAAAATGCTAATAGCTGCATCTTCGGGAAATACTTCATTTGCTATGTTTCATCAGTAAGACTCTGTCAAGTTTGCATAGATTCCTATCTTGTGTTTCCCTGTTTTTCAGACTTCTGCACCAACACCATAAAGCCAACTTGTGAAGCTGATGGCAACTAAAAGGGAGGGAGAACTATTCAGCTGTAATTCTATGCAAACATCTGCAGTGTTACTGGCCACATCACAAACAAAGGCATAAGAATCTTTAGACTTAGAGGCTTTTATGACTGTTCAAAATTGTAGTTGGTCAAGCCTCTTGGTATTTTTTCTTGTACTTAAATACAAGCTTCCACATTTAGCATTGGCACTCTGACCTCAACCTTGCTTCTTGCTGCTTTATTTTCATTTTTGTGTGCTTTTATTTCCTCAAATATTATAAACTGCAGTATTTGCTGAATGCATTTGAATTAGATTTCAAGTGTTTAATGAGTTTAAGTCAGGAAAATTCTTTTACTAATTAGTAGTCCTTTTTTTCTGAGAAATGTCACATAAATGTGCAGGGACAGTTTTGGTAAATATCAGGTGAGTTTTCCTGATTAGGGTAAGGATAAAAATCTGTTCTCAACGCATTTGAATAAAAAAGTATGTAAAAGAAAAGGTTTATTTTCAGATTATGTTTTCCACAAAATTGTGGATTACTAAAGTACAATGAATAGTTATCATTTCAATGATGTAAAACTCATCATTAGCACAGAGGGCATTCAAAGTGCTGAAAGTGGATACCAGGGGTGCAAGGACTTCAGGACAGTAGTATTGGAGAGTTCAATGACTTAGGAGTGGCAACTGAAGCCAGGTCAGAGTAAAGAAGTGATGTGCAATTTGATTACAGGTAATCATAGAAAGAGAAAAGACCATGGGTACAAATACATTGCTGGGTGAGCCCATTGTGTTAATCTTGCAACTTGATGCTATTTCTGTGTAAATTAGTCTCTTAACAGAAAAATTCAGCTTGGCTTTTGTACGTTTACCACACCAAAGGACCTGGTACCTACAAATGCTTACTGGTGTCCTGCAGCATCATAACTGTGGCCAGGGCTATGTCATTTCTTAGGTTTTAGTACCAGCTGCACCTGTGAAAGATAAAAAATGCCCATACAGTTTGAAGCCAGTTTGAAATCACTGCCAGCTTCTGTAGGTAGCCTTGTGATGTTGTGTTTCTCTTCAGAGCAGAACAAAAGATGAATTCACTGCACTGTATTGTCATTAGTGCATAGCTATTTCTATATATATGTATGTACATATTTTCTCTTTTAGGAACCAGGCACAGTGAAATCCTCATTCAGTGCCCCAAAGCAAATGCTTAACATTTAGCTAGTTTAACAAATGCTTAACAATGCTAGCCCTGTTGAAGTTACTACAGCTTTTCAAATATCCCACTGTACTTGTTTATTTAGCAGCTTTTATATGTCACTGGCAAAAGGTCACTGGTTAAAAAGCTTAGCAATAAAAACAAAACCAAAACCTGAAGTCTCAATATCCCAGTTCTGGTTTTGGACAGCTCTTCAGAGCTACGGTCCTCTCTTAATGCAGACGGTTTGGGGAGTGCCTCTTGTCAGTCTTGGGAGCCTAACCACGCAGTCAGCCAACAGACAAAAAGCTTCTAGCCCATCAAATGGCTAAAGTGTACCACAAGACAATTACAGGGATTTTCCTCCTTCTGTTCTCATCAACCAGATTTCTCACTGACAGATTCCTGTGATAGCCTGTAACAGGAAGATAAAAATCAGAGATTTTTTGCTAGAAATAAGTTATATGTTAAAAGTAAAATGGGGAGAGGCAAAAAATGCCAGAGAGGAAGATCTGTAACTGACATACTGTGACAGTTAAAGTTGCTAAGAGTCAGAAAAAAAAAACAGTTAATTAGGTGGAAAAGGAGGAGGAAAGTTCCAGTGTTATTCACTTAATCGATTTCTACCAGTCTTCCAGGAGGTTTAGAGAATAAGTATTAAAGTTAGGGGAGAAGGAAAAGATACCTATAAGCAACTTCATCTAGACAGTTTTGACCTCCATATGAGCAAAACCCCCCCCAAAAAATGGTATGGTGGAGTCAGTCTTTTAAGAAAATGAATAGATTAGATACCTTTTGAAAATGAAAAGCTTAATTCAAGTATGTATTTCTCCTTTAACAGTTCTCTGAATGACATTTCCGGGACTGACTCTGCTCCTCTACTGCTCACCTGGAACATCAGGAATGGAACAATGACAGTGTACAGCTACTCTCAATACAAGGAAAACAAATACTTGTTGTTAAGTATGTCCAATTCTTAATGTCAATTATACTTAAAACTAATTGCTGATCATTGCCTGACACCTTAAATAGTACCAACATTACAATTAATATCCAGTATAAAATTATTGGATAATAACTTTATACTAATTGGGATGAAAAATATCAGTTATTGATATTTTCCATCCCAAATAGTGTATCAAAGTTATATAAAAGTTACCTAAAAAAGGGATGAAAAATATCGAAGTTAGGGTCACAGTGCTATATTTTTAAGGTTTTTCATTATCAGCTTTGTAATTTACCATCCATTATTTATGTAATAAATGAAACTCTCAAAAATGTGTCAATGCTAGATGTTAAAGAGCAATGTAGAAATGTGCAATGCCTTTTCTGCATTAGCTGACTTTTCAGCAATTTGACATTACCTCAACATTCAGTTGAACTGACCAAGCAATTCATTAATTACAGCATTATGCCCAGTAGAAAGGAAAGCATATTTCCAGAATTCAATTTCCTGCAAAGGAGGGTATTTGCCAACTTTGAGATATGCAAATACCTGTGTCTAAAATATTTGCAAATGGTTTTAGGACCATTAATAACACTGCACTTCATCCATATCCAGATCACCCTCTTGAAAAAAAAATGCCATCTGTTCCTTTCAAAAGTATTGTAATAGCATTTATATGTGGCCCTAAGGAGGTCCTTCCTGAAGGTTAAAATCCTAGGTTTGTCACAAACTGGATTAATTTTTGTTTCTATTTCCAGATCTCATAACTGTAAATAAAATGTTTTTGTGTCAGTTACTTATCATCCTTCTCACAATTTCATTCAACCACTTTTCAGGAGGTGGTTTAAATTGGAACAAAGTGACCTTTTGTCAGATTATTGTCCAGTGTGGTCTACAGAATACTGCAATATATTCAGGATGCAGAAAAATCCTAAGTTTTGGTGCATATTTGTGGCATGTTTGGTAAGGAAGTGTAATCAACTAATTATAAACAGCTGAGACCTTTACAGCAGCCATGGCATTTGCATGTAGGACTGAAAAAATACAGCTATATTCCTGTCCTGACCTCGATATTCCCAGCTGGAAATGTTCTGCTGGGAACCAAGCCCCTTTCTTTTCCCTTTCCCCTTCAATCCCCCTTTCTTTTTCCTTCCCCTTTGTCCCCATCCGGTCTTATTTATGCTGTGTTTATATAGCACCTGTTGTTCTGTTTGTTTGGTTTTTTTTTCTATAAGCATCATGTAATACATCAGTATAAAAGATAAGGAAAAACAGTGTTTGTTGACTCCTGACACTCTAACCAGTGTTCATCCAGAATTTTAATATACTGGTATTCATATAAAACCATAACATTTCTTCTGTTACTCCCTACTTGTGAGTGTAAAGGCTGAGATACTGCAGAAGAAAAGAAAAAAAAAAAATCACCTGCAAAGATCCCCCAGACCCATGACAAACCTGAAAACCCTGGTAAGGAAAATTAGATCTCTGTGTTTATGTTTTTCATCCAATCATGCAATTCCATATGGCAGTGGTACAAACTGCTTTGAGAACGTCTGGAATTGATTTTTCACTACATTAAAGAAGATTGTTGTGCTGCTTTATAAACAAAAAATTTCCATAATATATAGTCTGCACTTCATACTTTCACATTTACTACAATATTCCAGTGACTCTTGAAAAACCAGGAAAAGTTATTGACTCAGTATATAATAAAACTTCTCAGTACAACGTTTTAACACTATTTTGGCCTCATATATGCACACAAAATGATTATTATCTTCAAATAATAACAAGAAGAATACTCCTTAATGACTCTACGAAATCAGGCTGTGTGCCAGCTTGTACTTAGGCTCAGCTTGATAATCTAGTTTTAAATAATAGGATTACATGAAAACTGAGACAAAGTTAGTTTCACAATACATTAAATATGTTCATAGCATTATGAATTAATAACAATTGGCCCCTTTATTTTTCTTAATGTCTCTTTAAGTATCAATTTTATAGCCAGTTCTTGAAATAGCGTATATATTTTTGCTATCAACATAACGATGTTGTAATCAATTTGGGATTTTATTTGCAGGAAATATACCAGAAAGCTGGCATGAAAGTTTGTGTTTTGACAAATGTACTGCAAGAGTAATGCCCCTCCAGCCAGAATTTTAAAGTCAAAATTTCTTCTGAACATTAGTCCATCACTTTGCACATGTGTTATGGTAAAGAAGGATGTGTTAGCGTTTTTTGGTAGTTTATATTAATGAGATTTTCCAAAGACCTGAAAACTGTAACTTTGCTCTTTACCAAAGATTCACCTGAATAATCTTACCACCTCACTCCTGCTTGGCCTTAGAGATGCTTGTATCCAGAGTATGTCCCTACTCCATACAGAGGAGAACAGTCACAGCTGGAGTGACAATGAGCATTGTCTTCCAGGGTCCAGACCTCATCACTTTCTTGATACAGCCTAAAGAAAAATCCAACAAAACGCCAACAGTTTAGTTGTTCCCAGAAGTAACTGAGTGGAAATCTGTATTAACTGTAACAGTTCATGTAACTGACATATGAGTATGGCAGATACACTTGGAAAATATTCAAGTATTGGATCTAAGTATGGACACATAGCTGGTAAACTTTTTAAAAAGTTTTTTTCATTTTTTGCATATCTGCAAGCAGATCTTGAGATCACAACACGTTACTCTTGAATATCTGGGTATCAACAAACAGTGGATATCTTGATAAGTCTGGCAAGAAAGACATGGGATTTTCAGTTATTAATTTTGTATCAAGATGGCTATGCCCATCTTACATACTTCACATGCATTATATGTCTATCTACCTGTCTAGCTAATAAACCAACTAGGTTTTCACAGATCTAAGCATTCACTTACGAGTATTTCTAGTCTTTTGGGCTTCATACAAATATATGATGCTTAGCATCTTGTGGAATGGAGCTCCACACTGTACATGAAATCTGCTAATGTAAAAAAATCCATAGAAGGTTGCTACTTACAGGATTTTTTAATAGCACTTGGCAATCCTAATTAAAATAATGTTTGCAACAAGATGGTGGTTACTGGATTGTTATGGTTGGCTGATCCTCCGTATTAGCGTTGGACAAGTGTCTCTGTAATCAGGCTCATGACGAGTTTAACTGTTAAAATTTTCTTCTAAGTGCTTTGGTCTGTCTCTGTGTTATATACAGCTGGGGGGAGGGAGAGGTTCAGCCCATGTTTTTTTTGGCCCTATGGCATACCTGACTGTCTTTTTTGTTCCCATTAATCTTTCAACAATCCCAATAAATGCAGTTCTGTGCCTCTCCTACTCTTTTGACCCTTAAACACTGCAGCCTTACAAAGCAGAATTATGCTCTGGTTCCAAGGAACCCAGCTCTTCCTGAAGCAAGACATGAGGGCAATCACAGCTGTTGTATGGCAGAGCCCTTTACAAGGTTCAGATGGTAAATATTTAACTGCTGCTCTTTGTTGTCTTTCTTTCTGCCTTTAACAGTATTTCACAAAGTGATATTGTCATTCCAGCTGTAGGCTGTGACTAGGCTGTATCATCTTTCCCTTTTCATCTTTCTGCTTCCTTTTCAATTTGAGGATATCGGCTGCTGCTCATTAAAAGGTCATGTTACCCAATCTTTTTGCTTTAGCTTTCACAAATTCCCCTTCCCTGTAAAGGTATCAGATTTATTTTGTCTTTTTATATAAATAGTAACAAAGTTTGCTAATAAACATAGTTGGTTTTCTTGTTTGGTTAGAAACAGTTTTTTGTTATACTTTATATGGCAATACACAAAGGGACACTATGTTCTACTTCTTAGTCAAATGAAGTAAAACCTCTTTCCTGAAAGATGAGCTATACAACTTTAACACTAAGGACAACTCCTACGAAATGTTTAGGAACTGGGACATGGGTGGAATTTAGTGAATTAGGTCTATGTGCAAAATGTAGGCCACGCCGGCACTTAACAATTGCCAAAGTCCTCCCGGGGACCTCATTTTCTTTGCCATGAGTTAAATGCTGCTGCTGAAGGGCTGGCAGGATGTAGAAAAATGGAAGAGAGAAAATCTACATAATCCAAGGAAGTATACACAACAAATGCTGGCCCCTGAGTAACAAGTTTCTTCAGCAGCTTGTCACAAGGTTGATAACTCACACAAGCCCTCAACTACATGCTCTGGAAATGCCCTAAGCCAGGATACCCCTCATGATGACCAGCACACTTCAACAATAAGCTGTCTTGTTCTTCATCCTTAATTCATATTGCCCCCTGTTGCACTATTTCTGCTCTTTTCCTTTCCAGTTCACATGAGCAATAAGCTATCTAGCGTAACAATGCAGCAGATGAAGCAGCGCCCTGTGGGGAATAAAAGAACCTTATTTGCTATTGGTCTGTGTACTTTCTGAAATAAAAATTCCCTTTGGTACACTTTTAAAATCAATCTATTTTTGTTATGGTTTTCCTGATGAAACAATGTAAGTTTAAAATTTGTTCTTCAAGAGATTCAGAATCTTTTGTTTCAGATGAAGGACTGCTGTTTCTTGCCTGCTGTTGGTTCTCTTTGTAATGTTTGATGCCCGAAAGGTCCCTAAACAGAATAATTTAGAAGAACATAGAAGATTCCACAGATAAATCTTTAAGCTAAAAGAACAAACAGGAGTAGAGTTTTTACACACACAAAAAAACCAAAACAAAACAAAATCAAAACCAACCAAACAAAAATCTTCAAACAAACCCCAAACCAAAAATAGGAGGAGGAATCTGAGCAGCTTTATATTATTTTGTATTGGCTTCAATCTATCAAGACTTTAACTCTGATATAGGTCCCACCCAGTATGATACCTAAGCAGTGGCAGAGGTGCTTAAAATAAGACACACAGACAACTTGTCCACTGTTACAAATATCTTGTTTCAAAAGCTAAACAATTTTTGTTCTTTTTTAATTTTCCTGCTCCATGTTCTGTATCAAAGGGGTTACTGTCTAGCCTCATCTTCCATCAGCAGACACAATTATTACAGTACTCCTTCTACTAAAAATAAATTATGCACAAGTAATGTGACAGCTTGGTGACCAAGGCAATGAAAAATGAAATGTTTTTAAGAGTGACCATTCACTATAAATTTAACTTCTCATACATGTTGTATACTAGACCTTGCCAGTAAGTAAATCTTGGTTTATTTCAGAAATCTGTAATTGCCAGAGTCCTTCTGAAGCCTTAGAGAAACTTATTAGCATAGAATTTATAGCAATTCTGAATTGCTTACAGAAAGGTACATCACATGTGCAACTGGGACCCTGTGTGTAGAACAGATGCCCTGACAGTGTCCTTGTACTATAGTGGTGTTATCTAGCAGACCTTTAAAATCTAAAAACATCTGGTTCACATTTAATTTTTGTACTCAATGACATCTCTGCATTACATTTTAGTGTAGGATGTTTCATTCATTATTTATTGTACACAGGTGTTAAAAAATCAGCAGGTTTGTGTATGTTACAAAACCCTCACCACAGTATGAGCTGTTTACAGGATGACAATATATTGGCATATATTTTTGGTAAATCACTTCAAGTAGATTATAAAACAAGAGCAGAGTTTTCTCTGTGAATATATGCAAAACTGAGCAGATTAAATGCTTGAAAACAACTGCATTTTGTACTGGAAAATTGCTATTACTGTTCTACTAGTGCTCTGACAACTTACAATGTATATCTAAGTTGAATGCATTGCTAACTCTGACATGCAAAGTCATTCCCTTCCCTTGTCATGGGCATAATATGATGCTAACAACAGTCAACGCATGTCAGCCTTTGTTTTGTTAAAAGCGAATGATCAGCATGAAATACTATAATTTCTTAATTTTATATTTGAAGACAAGTGTTTGGTAGCAACTATGAAATTGGGAAAGGATTAAAAGAAGCCTCCTGCTTCTCTTCTGTCATCTGCCCATTACTAGTCAAACACTCCCAACTTGAGATTAGAAAATTGTTGACCTACAATTTTGTTTTTGCAAGTATGTGAACTACTGTCCATATACCCATCTACCTAAACCACGACTGTTCTTCAAATAAAATAGTGGAAGCAAGGGACTAACTTTCTCTGAACCGTGGATTACAAACTGTGTCAAGTTGTCCACAGAAACTTTTTATTCATGGACTTTTCAACCATTTTAGGAAGAATTTGATTTAGCTTTTTTTTTTTCCAGTTACAGACATCGACTTTCTAAATCACTACATTAAAATTCACAGAATGCTTGAGTATAAATTTCAGAGATATATACTTCCGGGGAGACTATATATATGGATATGGATATGGAAAAATATATATATATATCTCCAGCTATATTGATGGGAGAGATTAAACTGAATATAGTGTTTTAAAAAAGCATTTCAAAGTTCTCAGGGAAAACAATGTTTATGTTGGAAGAAAATATAACCTGAAGGTGCAAATCACAAATATCCTTCACTCAGCAGTATAATGGGACTGACTAGGGCAGCAGAAGACCAAGATGAGATTTCCTAGTGTCTTCATACAATATTGTAGCCCAGCATGACTTTTATTGTTGAGTCATGAATATACTTCTCAAAAGACAAAGCTTTTTGTCTTTCCTCTCTTAAGGATGAATTGCCCACAGGGTTTTCTGATTATTTTATTCTGGCTGTAGGAAAATACAGAAATTTTTTCATCTCTTTCCTAACTTTGATTTTATTTTTTTTTTTTTCCATTTCTGAGCCACTTAAAAGTTTTGCCAGGACTCCTTGAATTAGCCCAGTTTCTAATAAATGAATGAATGAATAAATAAATAAATATGAAGAGAAACAGAAATATAGCTGCTATGCAGAAAAAAAAACATGTGTCCAGCAACTGAAGTTGTTTTCCTTATATTGAATCTTCCTCTGAGGAACACATAACTCTTTGTTCCATCTCTGCACTGATAAACTAGTGCTTAAATGGCTGCACAATCTTCTTTCAGGAATGAAAGGCATTAAGGAGAGAAAAAGACATTCTAACTAATTCTTCTCCAGAACAAAACAAAACAGACAATGATTCACTCTTTGAAAGAGCTAACTCTGTTCTGAACCTTTTGTACAGAACTGTTTGAAGGCCAAAGTGCTTGAAGTCAAAGTGGTAAAACTCCTGACAGGGGACATTACAGTGGTTGTTAATCACCAAGGGGCATTGTATAGGCAGCCCTTAGAAAAGATAGACACACTCAGTATCTCTCTAACTGTCATGGCATGTACTGTATAAAATTTATTGACCCGTAGTTGTTAAAAGTCCTGTGATCCAGAGCCTGTTACCTGTGTGCAGACAGGAACAAAGCAGGGAAACACAGTTATGCCCTTTGGCTGATCGGCTGCAAGGAAGCTGGCAGGAGCAGGAGCTGAGGAGGGACATCTCCCCTGTGCACATCATACCTTGTACATCGCTCTGCTGGCTGTGCAGGCTGAGTGCACCGGATGACACCAGTGCTGGCTGGATCCTGGGCAAGGAAGGAAAACATCTGACAGAGGAACATGTATTGAAACAGACACACACCATCAATGTGAACTCTGGGATTGTGCATGATCCAGGAATACACTTCCCCAGCTAAACATAGATATTGCTTAATATTAAAATAGTGTTGTGCGTAGT